ACTCACTGAGTCTTTTAGATATGGACGTGTTTAAGGCACAACAAGAATTGGCGCGATCCTCTCACAGAGTGTGACTGGTGCGGCCACCATGTGCAGCGTTCGCAGGGCCGCCTGCAGGCATAATAGAAGCAGTGTTACAAAAATAAACCCATATCATGCTCCAGTGTTCTTGCTTTGACCAGGGCGCGCCGGGCAGAAGTTATTTTGCCCAGCCTGCGACGCGAGCTCATCTTGTATTCAATGTTCTTGCTCTCACAGGTTTCGTAGCAAGGCACGTCTGCAAGATTGCCATGAGGTTCGTGTGCGGAGACTGCCTATTGCTCAATGGCAATACGCTTCTTCATTCAACGCAGCCTGTCTTATTTATATGTCGTCATACGTATAGCGATAGTGAAGTCTTCTCACAGAAATGAATGCTCAGGTCAAGCAATCTGAGACGCTGACGGGAGGACAGCCCAGCACGGCAGCACTGAAGGGATAACCTGATTGTGATGCCCCATATCATGCTCAGAAAATTCTCACGCGCAGATGTTCCACGAGCCAGATCAGCATTCACTTCATTTATCGTGAGAAATATAATAAGAAAATCAACGACAGCAACTGACATGCATTCGAGGCAGCACATGTTATAAAACACCGCTCTAACTTGTGGGTGGGAGAGGTAAGGACAGAAGTCAAGACTTGCTGACTTCGATTGTCGGTCGCCGCTGGCCAGGCTAGGAAGACCTACCGGAACCCACCGGTGAAACCAGTTGGAGCCTGAGACATCATTGGAAGGCGACTAGTGACTAGGCGCCAATTGCCTCACATTGCAGAGGTACGCTTGCCGGTTCCGCCACGTACTCCTCCGCCTACCAAGCATCTGACGTGGCAGAAGGCAGTGCGTGGGTCAGACAGTTTACAGACATCAGAAACACAGACACAGACACAGACACAGACACAGACACACACACACACACACACACACACGCACGCACACACCTCGGCTCGCCAGGCCTACAACTACGAGGACTGCGAGGACGAAGAGTGGAAGTGGAACCACTGGAAGGTGCGTCCGCAACAGTCCAGGGGCATTTTCGTTTGCGACCGCGTGGCGGTCAAAGTCTATTCTGCGCAATTTTGAATATACCGATCAGGACAGCAGCTGGAAGCACACAAGCTGGGACTGGAAAGACAAAAAGGCGTGCCCATTAGAACAACGATGCCTCATGCTGGAGATGACTCCTTTCCCACACATGTTCGCTTGGAAGTCTTCGAATCTTGCTGGCCGTGGCGTTTGCGCGCTACATCTTAAGAAGATCGAGATTTCAGGGTTAGGGTTCAGGGTGCTCCCTAAACCCGACACCCTCAACATTAAACCCTCACTGCAAACCTAGCAGTCCCAGGGTAGTTGCAAAGGGTTTAGGGTCTATGGAAGGTTTGCATGGAGGCTGGGCTTCTAACCCCAGTTACAATTTTTTTACATACACCCTAAGTCCCCCTAAGTACGTTAGAAGTAGATTAATGACTCGGTCTTTAAGCTTCCATTGACCAGCAAGGGCGCTATTATCGAGGGTTTACAAGGTTTAGTGGCTGAATCCCAAACCACGTCGGGTAATTCCCAAACTGGAGGTTTTAGAGTTTAGGGTTCAGGGTCCCTAAACCCTAAACCCATCGTTTCCTGATGCAAAGCGGACCTGGGTTTCTGGATTCGTGTGTTGATCGTTTCTGTTGTGAGTTTCCGGTGAAGGTTTAGGGTTTGAGGTTTAAGATGCTATGGTGTTTCGGGCTACATGAATAGCGAAAGGTAATTTGAGTTTAGGGTTGTAAAGTTTACAGGTTTAGGTCTGATAGCCCTAAAATTAACCCTTGAACTCTAAACCCGATGTCCTAGGATCACAAACTCGTCTCAGGTTACAATTTTGAGAAAAAAGCATCACAAGATTGCAGGGTTACCTTCCCTATGCATCCATTATGTGTCTTCCTGTAAGGTCCCAAGTATGTACGTATATTGGACCCTTTAGGCTACAGCGATATTTGTGCTTCATAAGGTACACCTTCCATTTACCATGTGCCCAGGTTGATGTTCAGGGCAGTTATTTTGAGTCTCTAGCGTAGTAGAGTAGCCAGAGTTTCGTGTAGGATCTAGGGTAGGGCTTTCTTTTGTCCGCGTGCGCTTTCTGGTGTCGCACAAACGCTCTTGCCGAGCGTCCGTTCTCCACAGAACTCTATGACTGGAATGCCTTTCAACGTGTCGCTTTTGAACGGCCCGTTCTCTGCAGCAGTCAAGACTGCGCAGCACATGGGGTCGAACTCAGACGACAGCAGCAAGCTGAGGAGCCAAGCACGAACGCACAACATGATGCAGCAGGAACTTAAGATAGGGTTTAGCCCTAAACCCTAAACCCTAAACCCTAAACCTTAAACCCTAAACCCTAAACCCTAAACCCTAAACCCTAAACCCTAAACCCTAAACCCTAAACCTTAAACCCTAAACCCTAAACCCTAAACCCTAAACCCTAAACCCTAAACCCTAAACCCACTGTGCATAGCTACTAAAACTTGACGGTGTGGTCAGGTGCGTGCGAGTGTGCAAACTTGTTTCACCCAACAGAAGTTGCAGGTACCGATTCCTGAGGATTGTCGCAAACAATCTGGCTTCAGCAACAAGAAAAAGTATTCCAAATAAGAATCATATATCTATTGAACAAGTAGTAGTGTTTGTCGTGATGTATTTAGGCATATAATAAGTAATAAGACAAAAACGAGTTTTATTAGTGTATATATATGATGACTACGGATGCTAAGCGAAATGAACCCTAAAAATCCCTGCCACATATATATATATATCTCTATATCTCCATATCTCTATATCTATATATCTATATATCTATATATCTATATATCTATATATCTATATATCTATATATCTATATATCGATATATCTATATATATCTATCTATCTATACATACATACATACATACATACATACATACATACATACATACATACATACATACATACATACATACATACATACACACATACATACATACATACACACATACATACATACATACATACATGCACATGCTACGGCCCCGTCCAAAACCTACCGTTTCCAAATTTCCTATACTTGCGTGACATCAAAACGCTTTCAAAATGAGACCGACTCCCGAAATCCTGCTCCCTAAGTCCTATTCCCTTAACCTTATTCACAAAATTCTGTTGCATAAACCCCTAATTCCGAAAACATGAAGCCTGTTCCCAAAATCCTCTTCGCTAAGTCCTAAAGCACGGGATCCCTACATCGTATTCCCTAAATCATATTCACTCAATCCCTAAATCCGGGGAAGGGGGGGCGGGGGGGTCACTAAATCCTGAAAAGGGGGTCCCTAAATCCCCAATTGAGACCCCCTAAATCATCAAAGAAACCAACCGAACCTGGCTCACTAAATTTTCTCGCTAGATCCTAAATCCCATGATTTTAGTGCCTAAGTCTCTTCCCCTAAGCCCTAAAAAGGGGAACCTTTGAAATCTGAAGAGGAAAGCCCCTGAACCCTAAAAGAGAACCCCGCTCATTCCCGAATTCGAGCATCTGTGTAATTCATACCTCCACATTTGAAGAAACATTTTTCGTCGAAAATCCGGCTGTAAGACTACTTTCCAGTACGGGGGTTTTCGTATGGGGAAATACCACGACATGTAAAGAATATTTTCCGGGGGGTTCAAAAATCTGCAGTTTGGGTCGGTGAAACTACAATACATTCCCCTTTTTTTAAATAGAGCGGCCGATTCAATTTTGAATCGGCCCTCACACTGAAGATTGAAAATCGAAGATTCTCAGAAAGAGTTCCTGGGAATCTTCAATCTTCAATCTTCAGTTGGAGGGCCAATTCAAATTGAATCGGCCGATTCAACTTTGAATCGGGTCCATGTAGCCCGCATTGTGGGCCTGCATTCGCCCACCCCGTGATGCTTGGAATCGGAGTCGGAATGAAAGCACGGTGAAATCTTGTGCCGTGCGACTTTCAGGCACTTCGCGGCGCCGCTGGAGGAAATGCCCAGCATCGTGGCACAAGGTGTGAAAGCAGCGGAGAGTCCGACAATTTTTGGTGTTGTTTTTTAGTGTTGTTTTTTGTTGCCCTTTTTGCAGGCGATTCTGTGGACTGGAACAAGACATCGACATCTCAGCAAAGGGACAGCTTGGAGGTCCAGGGCCCCAGATTTGTTCCGGGAACGGCCCTGGCAAACACATGTAAACAACAGGTCGAGGCAGTCCAAAAGGTCATGTGTATAGAAGCTTGAATGGAACAGACGTTGGTGAATGTGATCCTTTTTGGAGGGTGTTCGCACGACATAGCACAGTATTATATGGGGCTCCAATTTCAAGAGTCAGGAAGGTGAGGTTGCTCCCCACTGCTTGCACAGGCTCGTAGGCGTGCGGGTTTGGGGGGACGGAAGGAGGCGGTGTTTCGCTCTATTCCGGGCAATTTCCAACATTCTCTTCCGGTGACGTTTTGCAGCATTAGGATGGGGGCCGTAACTTGAAGTCGACATCGTTATGGTGTTTTTCAAACATCGCGGTCTTGCTAGACTTACAATACCTTGCCGCGGTCTGCGCTCATCAGATCGGCTATGCAAGTTCAATAAGCGTCTGTTTCATCCGTCTTGCCAGCAAGTGAGTCCTCAGTTTCAAGAAGTGGCCCCATGAAAAAAGGGCAAAACATCTGGAAAGTGTGTCTGCAAGGCATCACGAGCTGCACGGCAAGAAAAGACCTTTGCGCAGCTCGTCTAGTAAGCTTGGCTCGCGAACGCTGCATGTAGAGAGATTTCTGCTTGCATCGGCAACCAAGGCGAATGATCATCGCGATAATCGAGAAAAAGCCGCAGCTGTGGTCGTACATCATCCGAAATTCTTTAGGTGTGCCACAGCAGTCACATGGCCAGTCAGCCTGCCCAATGTGAAGTAACGTTTGCCCTGATGTTTGCCATGCTTCACTTCATGCAGGACAAAAAATGCCAATCGATGATTTTGTGCACATGATGGAGGCGTCCATTGCTTACTCGCCTCAGCGCTTACCAGCCGATGGTGGCAGATCCAGTGGCCATGTTCCCTTTTTATCTGAGGCAGATTGAGAGTGACAATCCTTGGAAGGAGGCACTGAACTGAACAGACTGGCGCAGCATGTTGGCTGCTGTTAGCTGTTAGCAGATAACAACGTCTCGCGGAGAGCAACAGCTCTGGGATCAGGCCCTGGAGGAGTGGGGTGTGATCAAGGATGACCAGATCGAGGCACTCACGCCTTCTTTGATTTGAAAGCAAATCTCACCTTCGTGCTAGTTTCTGCGCCAAGTTCTTCGGTGCATGCCGCTATGCGTGCACTCTGAGCAGCAGCCCGGCAGTTGCTAGCGGTTCTCTGTTGCATCGGCAGGTCACCAAGTTCCTGAACAGATGGGTCGTCAAGAGCGAATCTGCAGGATATTCGTCGCATCGAGCTCAGTCTATTGCATTTGAGTGGCTGTTGGTTGAGCTGTTTGAATAAGCATATTTACAATCTTGCGTTACTGTTGGACATCCTTGAGCCTTCTGCAGCTTGCGACTTTGTTGAAAGGTTTGTGAATGACGCGATCAAGCAGGTCTATGAGGCACGCCAGAAGAGCCGCCTTTGTTGCCAGAAGAGCCGCGTTTGTCTCAGTTGGAATTCTCATTGCGCAGGCCATTGTCGCAATGGATATGGATCTCACAGAGACCTTCAAGATGTTTGACAAAGACGGCGACGGTACCGTAGACATCAAGGAAGCTAAGCAGGCCAGGCCTTGAGCTGTGCGAATGCCCGGAAGATCAACACAATCAAATGCAGCAAAGCATGAAAAGCTTGTTGTGAGCAGCAGGAGCATGCTGCAATATGCTGCAGGGGTTTGAACATGAGCAGCATTCGCGAAGTGGTCCCGTTCCTCCCTCTGCTTGCATTAGCAAATAGATGGCCGCTTGCCGTCCGGCCTGTGCGTTTCGGCATCTGTGCGGGCATTGGTGAGTTCACAGCTGCTTGCTAGCGCTGCATATTGTAGCTGATCATGGCTGCCCTTGCCCAGTCCAATTACGAAAGCCCTCTGCCAGGAGCATTCGTTCAAAGGCTTCGCTGAATCAGTATACAGGGGTGGGGGAGGGATCAGTGGAGAAACCAGATCCAGCTCATGTTCATGATGCTCGGCCCGTGGACGGCGGGTGGCAGAGTCTAGGGTCTAGGGTCAGGCATAGGGTGTAAACTGTTGGATGGGGGGCCCGCGATCTCGGTCTAAGTTCCATCTCTGGAAAGAGCGCGATTCAGAAGCTGGACTGTGGTTCAAGAAGCTGGGCCATTCAGGAGCTACCCGGTTCAGGAAATTGCCGTCACGAGGAAAGCATCTCATGCGATTCAGGAAACCGGGCCGATTCAGGAAACCTCGCGGGCGTAAGGGGGTGGGTGGCGGGGGATGATACTTTCAGAAAACTTTGCGATTCCCGAATCCACGGTCTCCAGTTTCCGAATCGGCGTTCTCAATGGTTCGAATTCGCATAACAGCTTTCCGAAATCTGCTGCTGGCCCCATCTCTGCACCATGACTCACTCCTCAAACCCCAGAACCCTCAACGACTCTTAACCTTAGCATGGATGTTGGACTAAGTCCCCTACAGTACTTCAGGCTTCAAAGCGCTAGACCAGCTTGTGCCCGTCCTGCGGGTCGGCAGGTGGCAGGCATTGGCAGGCTGTAGGGCCAGGGTCAGCCAAATCTAAATTCACCTGTCTCGCTTCACAAAGCGCGGTAGGCGAAATGGTTCATAAGGTTTGCTGGTTATTTCTTGTGACCTGACTAGACAATGTAATTCTTCACCTTAGTTTTCCTTATGCCTACCCATGGACCTTCTAGTAGGCAGTGCCGCTTCCGTCCCCCCTTCCCCTGTGCGCAAGTTGATCCAAGATGCCCAACGTACCCGCCCCAGAACTGAATTTGTGATAGAGAACGAGCTGGCTGTGTTTAGGTTCTCGAGAAGTTCGATCTGGGCTTATCGTTTCTTCCTGAGCGCGTGCTTTTCAGAAGCAGCTTGTCAACTTGTCATGGCAGCAAGTTTTTATAGAGCCACGCATGCCAGCAGTGTAGATGTGGAAGGTCTTCACAGATTGATCGCCTGCTTGGTGCGGAGCTGACTGTTGTTTTGGAGTCGCCTCGGGTATGGTCATGATTGAACTCTGTACAGATATATCCTTGTGGAGGCCAGCTTTTTGCTGCGTCGGTTGTTGCAGCTGATTCAGTGCGGCTTTCCGTGCAGGACGTTGCAGCTTGTGACCGCTTGTGGCTTGTGCTCTCAAGCCTCAGCTGAAAGACCCCGTCGTGCCCGTGCCAGGAGTTCCTCGGGCACTTCACCACTGTCTACTCTGCCACAAACAATGCTGACCTGCCCAGATGGTGCGGCCAGAATGATTGGAAAGCGCCATGAAATCCGTGAAGCACCTTCATTCTTTCGGTTCGATTTGCAGCTTGCGGTTCTTGTAATAAGTCATCTCATGAAGGACAGTGTCCTCCTACATTGTCCTACGTGAGATGACTTATGACTTCACGTTGTAGACATGGCCTTCGCAGCTCTTGGTGCTTTTGTGCTTCCCTGCGCTTCACTAGTGAATGTGTGCATGCCACAGGGTTCTGGATACACTGGGGCAGATCGGGCGGCTCATTATCAAGACAAAGGCTCGGCTTAGCAGAGGGTGTGGGTGGCAGCTGAACCCGACGATGCATTTGTGAGAGTGGAACTATGTGCGTGACTCGCTGGTGCAGGCACCTAGTGCGGTCCTGAGTTGCCATCAATCAGTTGCAGCAGATGCAGCTTGTGACGCCGAACGTGTGCGCAGCCATATAAGGAATCAGCCGTCGTTTGTCTGTTTTTGTAGCTGTAGCGGCACTGCAGCGCCAGTCATGTACCTGCAGACATGCAGCAGAGCTCGTAACGAGATGTCTTCAAGATGTTGACACGATGCAGCCAGGCTTGTGCCCCTGAAGATCAAAGAGCATCATGTTTCATCAGTATCAACAGCATGCACTGATCTTTGCACAGCCCGTGACAGCTGAAATGTTGCGATGCAGCATGCTCTTCTCCTGTGCGTTGGCCAGTGGAACCAGCGAAGCCAGCGGACAGCAAGTGGAGTGCCACCCTTGGACACCCAAGACATGTCACCGGAGATTTGGGCTGCTTTCAGGTGTCGACATGCCACTTGGATGCACTCGCACATGCCGGCCACAATGCCGCAAGACATGGGGCACACAGCATGGGAGACGTCACTAAGCCAGGCAAGTTTCAGCTCTTCCTACAACAACTTTGTTTGGGCACACAGGTCCTCGGGACATTGACACAAACCACATTGAAAACCTCTCCACAAGGTGGCCGAACCTCGGATGCAAGGTCGACACTTTCGCATCGCTTCGTTTTTCTGTTGAAGGCCGACGCCTTAGCAAACCAAAGCATGCAATCTGTCCGCAACCAGGCATCATTTGGGTGGATGCAAGACCAGAGGCAGGTTGTACATCGAGCAGTCTCAGTGGTATGCATGCCTGCGCATGTGTGTGACATTCCTACCGGTGCTAGGTCGCTCTTCCTGCAAGTTGTGGTGGTGGTGATGCAGGCCTGGCAGTGTGGTGCGCTTTTGCATTTTTTTTTTCGGAAGTGGGATGACACTAAGATGCTTTTGGGTTTTGTTTGTCCTTTGTCTCTTGGTACTCTGGCGCTCCTCTCCCGGTCCCGTGGTTTCTGGGTCGTTTTGGGAATCGTGCACTGTGCTGGTATATGCTGGTATGGCCTGGGACAGCTATTTGGTATCCTTTGGTCTCTTGCTCCTCTAGCCCGAATCCTGTGCTCTGCCGTCTTTTTCCTCTTCCGGTCCTTTGGTCAAGTGTCGGGGTGGGCATGGATCCCAGGGTTTCTCCATCAAGGAGACATGTCGCCTTCGGTCACATCGTTGTTTTGCAAGCTTGGTGTTTGGGGGTCTTCGCCGGCAAGATCTTTAAAGTATATTGTGCAAAAGAGAATTATATAATTATGTAGTATATACATATATATATGTATAAATAAACATATATAATATTAGATCTATACATACATAGACATATATATATATATATATACATATATATATGTATATGTCAAGAATTAGAAAACTCAAAAAGCCTCAACAAATGACTAAATGAAGAATTAAAAACACATATTCTCTTATATTGAGCAGATAGTACACAGGCTGAGCGGGGGTGCCGTAGTCCAGGCCCAGCTGGAAGACCTGATGTCGAAACGTTAAACCCAAAATTCCAGAACCCAGAAAGAACTTCTGAGCAAAGGGGCCTATTTCTTGAGGTTTTGGTTTCTGGAAACTGAGCAGTGGTAGTGCAAGGCCACCACGGGTTCAGCCAACAATGGTTTACATAGCATTTCTGAGGCTTAACCAAAACGCTCAAGATCTCAGACCAGGCTCGGGGCTGCGGTAGAGGGACTGAAGTTCCCGCGTGTGTTCGTCGGACGCTGTTGAGGCTCGCTAAGGAGTCAAGCAAACAAGCAAACCCTACACCCTGCCTACACCATCAATCCTATAGAGAAGCCCTAAAAACAGTTCCCCTGCAAAATTGTGGTATAGCCGGTGACCCCAGCAAACCGGGTTCGCGGAATGGTCCCGGAAAACTTGTGATTGTAGCGTGGAAAACTAAACCGCGAACAAACTCCCATCCACCTCCCACCCCTCCGCCCCCTGTGTTGTACGTTGCTCGATTGTGGATTCTTCTTGAATGAGTCGGTGGGGTTCTTACATTGGAGCCCGCCTCGCCATTCGGTTTCGCTTGAGCCCCTTTGCCTACTCTATTGTAGATTTTTCTTGAAATGGTCGTTTTGAGTCTTTGTATTGGAGTCCGTTTCACAAGTTTTGTTTAGAATCCTTTCAGCAAGCCGGCAGAGCTTTCATTCCCTTGGGCCCGCCCTTCAGGTCCTGCTACTGCTACAGCGACCGTCGTTGCGACTATTACTACCACCACTACTACATGACTGTGTATGCCAAGCCTTCAACTGTAGCTTCAAAGGAAACCTCCTCTTCGGCTTGTAAGACACACGAAGGGTTTTTTTGTTTCAGACCCACATGTATTGTTTCACAGCCACATGAACAGACGCAGCCTCACCTGTTTCGAAAAGTGTAGATCTTCAAGAAAAATTTTTGAGAAGCGCGAACTTTCTCTCGAGAAGAGGAGGAGGATTGTCTGTTTCCAGTTGCTGATGCGAAGTATGAGAGGGCAGCTGTAGCTCTTCATCCGAGCTCTCTTGATTTCCAACATAAAAGGAACATGCGTCCTCTTCATCAAGAGTTCCGATGCTTAGCACGTCATCTGAGGTTTCTTATTGAGAGCCATGTGTCATTTTACGCTGAATGCAGGGTAAGTTAGAGAATGCTCCAGTTATCTAGATTTGCACAACTCTTGCTGCTCAGCGAAACGGAGGGAAGAGTCCAAATTTTGGAAAATTCCAGGCGGGGTCATCCTTCTCCTTACAGCGAGGGCGAGGCTTCTCATTGAGAACAACGTGTCGTATGCCTTGCTAGGAAAAAGTGGGGTTCGTTATGGTTCGTTTGAAACGAAGAGATGCCCTCTTAATAGGTAGTCTGTGCAGTGGCATCGTGTGGACTTGGGGGTCACGCGATGCTGGTATTTGAATTGCGCTTGATCAAAGCCTCGTAAAATGGACCATCGGCATGTGGGTCGATGGTCTCTGGTTGGCATACCCGATCAACACGTCGCAAATTGGTTGTGCTATCTGGTTGAGGTTCAGGATTTGCCATCCGTCAACGGTGATGCCTTTTACTCGCACAACGCCGGTTTACTGCAGCAAAGGCAGAACATTTTCAAGTTCGAGCACGTTTGCTTCAATGCTTCCTTTGGACTTGCGGCAATAAGCAGTTTGAAGGCTGCGAGCAGGCAGACATGCCGTTGAGTCAGAACGTTATGGAGTCTCGTAGAGAAGCACTAAGGAAGAACATTTTGGACTTCCCTTAACAATCCAGCATGCCGAACCTTAAAGCCTCCAAAATCAACTCCGGACCTTTTTTCCAGCCCACGGACTTGTGGTGTTGATTGTGGTGTTTACTTGCTGCCTTTTTTCGCAGCATTTTGGTCCACAACTATCTCACAGGAAGTGCGCAGCAAGATTTCCGGGAGCCCTTCCGGGAGCCCTTCCGCGAGTATGAAGTCGCCAAACAGGCGGAGCGAGCGTGGGGAGGGACCACGAAGGCATGTGAATTTTACACGTGTGAGTTTACTGTGCCATTTGATGGTGGGCTACCTGCCGCGAGACTTACTCAGCAATTTCAGGAATGATTCGTTGCATGCCACAGCCGCAAAAATGTAGCATTTTCACAAGAAAGACCTTGGAACCCAGAAAACAGTCGGAAAGGCGACCGGCTTTTACCAACGCTACTGCAAGGGGGGGGGGTGGTACATGCCCCCCCCCCCCCCCCCCCCCCCCAAAATAAAAGAGAAAAAAAGAAGATACGAAAATCCAGCTACAACAAAGCCAAACTAAGGCCAAACCAGACTGGACAGAAACATCGGCATGCTCGCATCGTTCTAGGGCAACCCAACGAGGCCTCGTTTGCTGTCCCTGAGCTTTACATGCAGACCTCTGAATTCAAAGACTTGCACTAACACTAAATTCGGGTGCGTTAACAAAGCCGAGCCGTATTTTACTAGGCCCCGCATGTTTGCATCATCCCGGCAAAAAGCCAACCAGGCCTCGTCCAAGGCTTCACGTTGAATGCCACATGGGTGAGGGCGGCCCGCACCTTTTCTGACAGTACGCCGTGTACTGCGGATGCACCAGCCTGTAACCAACTGCTATCTTACATCGAAAGAAAGGGCCTAAGAAAGGGTCTGAACAGAGTTTGTCGGGGTAGCTTGTGGGAAAAATTGGAAATTGGCTCTGTAGGGGCCTCTTTCAATTCGGCTCCGCTCCGAGACTGTTTGAAGACGTTCGACAAGTAGATAGTCCATTCACTCCGGGGTGAGGGTGAGGGCAACCTCGATCCTCCATGCCCGGTATTGCCCGCTAGAAGAAGCAGAGGAACGACAAAGATACGCAAGAGGGATACATTTACAGGGTCTAGGGCAGGTCGGGGGGATTTTGCCTGTGGAAAGCTTGCCAAGCTTTGGCAAGCTTGTACAGGAGATGCCGCCGAGTGATATCAGCCAAGGCCGCGGCTTTTGCTGTTGCAGCCGTTGCAGCGCCCAAAATATGTCGAGTTCGGTCTTTGAAGCAGGCCAGTGTGGCATTATCTGTCGTGTTCTCTGCATGTTGCCGTCTGCAGGCGAGTTGTTGGTGGCGCTTGCAGACACGGCGGAGGCATTGACAGAGGCTGCAGCTAGCAACTGTTGGTTGCTTGGCTCAGGCTCAGACAGACTGTGTGAAGAATGACTTCACATGGGTAAAGGCATTGTTTTATTTTTCCTTTTTTGCATCGTGTTTTCGAGGCACTGGCGCTTGCAGCACCGGCATGAGATGCGAAGATGACGGGCTTAATTCAAGTCCATCTCGTGCAGACATGCGCTGCCCGCTAAGGGACTGCATGCGTCCCGTGTAGACATTGCACTGCCCTTGCTGGAGGGCTTCTGCTACCTTCCCAAGAGGTCTCATCCCACAAAGGAAGACCGGACGACATGGTCCCTTGCAGTCAAACTGCCCGTAGCGTGCTCAACAAGAGGAGAGGCATGCAGCGTGACATGGTCGGCCAAATTGAGGATCAACTCAACCTGTGCAACAGGCCGTTGACCCTTGCAATCCCTTGCATGTCTAAACAAAGTGCCGTTGGAGTGCTCTTAGAACTCTTGGGAGACACAGTGAGAGTCTCAGGTGCAGGCGAGGGCGACTCTGGGGATGCTACAAAAATGGCGCCGCAGCTTGTTTGCTGTCGTGGAAGCGCGGATGATCCTTGGTTTGTAGGCCCTCATGTACTGGTGTCTTTCGCATTTGTAAACCAGGCATCGGCTTTCGATTTTGGTGTGCTGAATTCGTAGTTTCTCGAGGGAGCAGTGAGCAGTGTCTTGAAGCCGCTTGAAGCTTCTGGTCGTTCGTGGTGTCATCTTGCGAATCTTGCGGCTTGCACATTTGCACTTGCATTGGCGCTCGCATTTGCGCTTGCCAGTCCCAAGTCTTCCAAGAGATCGACACCTCCGGCGATGGAATTCTGCAGTTGGATGAGTTTGTGGCCGGCATTGAGAAGGCGCAAAGCGCGATTGCACAGCTAGTTCGAGCACGTTCAGTGACTTTTTGACAGAAACCTCAGCCAAGTGACTGACATGCATTTCAGTTGCCGGGGTTGGACAAGCTGACTGTTGATGGCGAGCGTCTTTCGTCGCAGCCCCAGTTCTTCCGGAAGGTTAGAAGTTTTGTATTGAGGCAGTCACGCTGCAGGCACGATAAGCTTGTGGAGATTTCCAAGATCCTGGATGTGACGCAAGATGGCACTTTAAACTACTTGGAATTCCAACAGGCCTGCAAGCAGGTTTGCAGGTGATTTGTGTACGTCTCAGCCTTGATTGTTGTGCAATGTTGTGCAGGCTTTTCAACTCAAAGGTCAGGGCACAGCTGACTTGGAGAACAGTCTGGTGGAGGCCATGCGAATGTGTCTTTCACCCGTCCCTACAGATCACAGGTTCCTCAGATGTTTGATTGGAGGACCTCACCACACTGCTTTTCCGTCCGCGGCCCTGAGAATTCTCAGACAGCGAAAGTGTAAGTGCGGTGTGATAGGTAGACGTACCTGCAACTGCCCCCAGGACCTCTGTTTGGCGGGTTTAGTGCGGTTGAGTGGCCAGCACATCCGTGCCCGAACCATGCAAGCTTCCACGCCGCAATTTCTGAATAGGGTTGCTGAAGATGTGCCACTTCTGCAAGCCCAATTCGACAATTGGGAACCTCAAGTGGTGACAATCTCAGCTCCGCCTTGAAATCGAGCCACATGGAGCCAGCCTTCCTGGAAAGGAATTGGTTTCCGAATGTTTCCGATGTCAAAGACAACAGCAGCTTGAGACAAATGTTTCTTGAGTGTTTCTTGTAAAAAATGCGCACGCAAAAGAAGCACTTGCCCCAAAGCCCACTTACAAAGTTGTACCGTGGCCAGAAGTCCACACAACGAGGTGGCGCAAGCCCGATATGGAGTTTTCGGTCCAATAAATTTTTGAACACCTTTTTCACGAGGATACTGGCAGCATTTGTTGCGATTCAGGCCAATTGACAGTGACTTGACCGATGAGCCGGGTAATTCCGCAAGCAAACCTTGCGTATCTTGCTGCTCACAGCAATGCCGGTGAAAGAAATGCGCCGTGAACTTCCAGGCTTCTCCCCAACTCTCGCCCGAATCATATGAAACAGAAGGCTTGGGCTTCACGAGTGCATGTGTGGCCTTTGCTGCCAACATTCTTGCTATCCGAGACGGTATTCATCCGCACACTTGCAGGGGCAGTTCAATGCAAGTTGTCGAAGGACATCAGCGTCCCTAATGAGCATGTTGTTAACAAGCACATGTGATGTCCGATGTCCGGCACGATCTTGATCTAGCATCGCTTCTCTTCTGGAGGTACATTCGCTGTTTGATGCTGCCTACAGAACCATGCAACGAGTGCCAAGAATGCCTGCACGGAAGCTGGAAGCAATGCTTGATATCTGCACCTTTCAATGGATTGCTGTGCAATTGCAGTGTCAAATGAAGGTGAGCTTGTGTTTTGCATGGCACACTGGAGCACAGGAAGGGAACCCGTTTCGCCTTGGTAGAGTCAGTGCACATACATGGTGCGCACATATGGTCAGCCATCTGGCGTCTCTCCGCACCCCCCACGGACTTCTTGCGGTTTAGATCGGGTTTAGGGTTTCGTCAGGGTTTAGGAGATTTTTCGAGGGCAGGTGAGGCAGTAGGGTTTAATGGGGTGGCAGGGTTTCGGCAGGGTTCTATGCTGTGTTTAGGTAAGTTTGGCTCGGTTTAGATTGATTTGGTAGGCCTTGGGCAGGGTTCAGGTTTCATGTTAAAACTGAGGTTTAGGTGTGTTGAGGAATTGTGGGCTGTAGTTGGGGTATTCGGTGGGCGTTTTAGGTGCGTAACAGGGTTTATGACGGCCCGGCTACCCCATCCCCCTCGAAGATGCTTCCCGCAACTACGCCCACACAGGGGTCATTGCGATGGAAGCTGCATGAGACCCCTGTAGGCTGCATCTTAAAGGCAAATCCGAATTGGCTCAATGGTCAACCGAAGTGTGCTGACTGATTTCTGCCCAGGTTATCGAGTTCACATCCGGACAGGGTGCCAGTTTCTCGACGAGGTAGACAGCTGCAAAGTGCTGAATGAGGCCTGTTGTAGAGTGCTCTTATCCTGCTGACACCACACTGCATCAACTTGTTCAGTTGCCCCGTATAAGACAAGTGCCAGGACTTTGAGAATGTGCTTCGTGGCGTGAACAATGCGCTGCATTCGCCCTCGCCTCGCGAGAGCTTCTGCAACAGAATGTAAGCAGCACAGCGATACAGTCTTGTTGCGCTTCTTCAGGAACGAACAAGGAATTTCAGAGTCGCAAATCAAGCACCTGTCGTCTGCTCTGACGGTGGAGGACTTGATGCGATGCCAGCATCGTCAGTAGCAATCGCACCCGCAGTTTGGTTTGCAAAACATACGCCGTAGCTGTGGGAACAGGTGCTCTTAAGCAGCCTTCATCCATGAACCTCAAAGTCCTCCATGAGACCATTACAAATGCGATTCGTGTGTTGCCAGTTCGACAGTGCAGACACAGGTTGTTGCCACGGTGTTTGCGCATTGGTCGTCACCCTATAGAGGAAGTCTGCCACCTTAATGTTGCAGGATGAGGAAGGCCCCATTGTGGGCTATGATGCCTTTCTGAGGTCCGATCGCAGAAGAAGAAGAAGAAGAAGCCAGCGGCATGAACGCTCACAGCAACTGCTGCCAGGTCTTTCGTCGTTGTGGACACAACAGACGGCAGTGTGATCAAGTCGTTTCACTGAGTCAGCTGAGCTTTACAGTGATGAGTATGTGGCATAATGCGACCAATGCCGTGACATTGCTTGAAGTATACACTATGCAATGGTTGAAGGATTGCAGGTTGTCTCTGGAGTACTTAGTTGGAGAGCTCTCTCTGACAATCTCACACGTCAAGGGCAGGGTGTCAGCTGCCGAACTCCATCACTTCCGTGCCTCCCTGTTTCATTGCCTCCGCTGTGCGCAGCACTTGGCTGATCAAAGCCGTAAGAATCTGTAAGATCAACAACAGGTTGGTTTCCCAGACTCTCACCCTGGACGATGCGCTGCCACGAAGTGGCATGCTGCGACTGCAGAGGACGCATCGTTCCTTGAACCGTCAGGAGATACAAAAAGCAAGCATGGGTACTCAAGACAGCTTGCCCTGACGTTGTCATGAGCACGTTCTAGTGTGTTCAGACGCGCCCGCTGCAAAGCGTCAGTCACCAAAGTATTGGGCAATTGTGGGCGGAGTTGCTGGCAGTTGTCCCCTGCGCCATGATGAACCTTTGCTGCATTTCGCAAAGTCATTCGACCTTAAGCTTTGATGCAGACTGGTCAGCATCAAGGTACCAACAGTCTCCGATGTTGCTCGATGATCCGGCGACAAGGGCTTCGATGGTGTCCCTGTCGGAGGCGTCGTCAGTCCTGTGCAGAGTCTGCTAAGCACTGTGCCAGTCTGCTAAGTTTCAATATAGATCGCTTTTATTCAAAATGCAAAAACCCATCTGAAGTTAAGGTTTTGCGAAAGTGCTGCAAAACCAAAACGACTGACAGAAGCATGACTGAGCCAGGCTGGATGACATGAACCCAACAAAACACGCGACCCTGATTGCCAGACATGACACACCCGAGCTCGAACAAAAGCTTTGAGGAAAGCATTTTAAAGTCAAAAACACACGTGGCAAAAGCACACGTGGCAAAGATACACAGACACACAGACAAACATAGACCCACATAGACACACATAGGCACACATAGACACACATAGACACACATAGACACACATAGACACATGGACGCACATAGAAACACATAGACACACACAGACACACAGACCCACATAGACACATAGACACATGGAGACACATTGACACAAAAACACACAGACACGCACAGACACGCATAGACACCATAGCCACATGGACACATGGACACATAGGCACATAGATACATAGACTCATAGACACATAGACACGTAGAGACATAGACATAGACACATAAGACATAGACACACACACACAGACACATAGACACATGTGACACATAGACACAAAGGACACATAGACACATAGACACCTAGACACATACGCACGTACGCACATATACACACACACACACACACACGAATGAGACATGACTTGACTTGTAGCTAAATATTCGGGAAGAACTGATCGCTTGGCAAAAAGCGTAAGACTTGACTCTGAGCGGAGCGCAATATTGTCAACAACCGTAGTGGACTTGTGCATGTCCCACTGAGCGGCTAGGGCCGGTTCCTGTGGGTAAGGTTTGGGGTTCTTAGGGTTGAGGGTTTTTAGGGTTTGGGGTTCTCAGGTATCGGCCAGGCAAGCGGAAAGACTGTTTCATTCCATAAATAATCGGGACTGAAGATAAAATTCTGCTTGTCTGGCGAGAGACAGGCGGAAAAACATTTTCAGTCCGATACTTCTTTTTACATAATTGTGCTGAAAAATTCTGCTTGCATGACAGACAGAGGAGGACAAAGTTGTTAGAGGAGGGAACATAGTTGCAGTCCAGATGTTGTATTTACAATCCTTACTGAAAATACATGTCTGCTTGCCAGGCCGAGAGGCTGAGAGAGGAGGACAAATTTTCCGTCCTGATTATTGAGACATAGTTGGGATTATCTTGCCTGGCCGAGAGCGGATGGAAGTCATTTTCGGTCGGATTTTGTATAACTAATTGGGACTAACAATAGTGGCCGGGAGAGAGAGAGGCTGAGAGAGGAGGAAAATGTATTCAGTCCGAATTCGTTATAAATAGACGAGACTGAAATAACTTTCTGCTTGCCTGTCTGGAAAACGAGGCAACATTTTTCGTCCTTGCGCTAGCCTGGAATCTGGATGAACTTTCCATACTCACGAGACACCAGTGAGGCATGTGCACTCCGCGGAGCTCTGTTGATCACTCTTAACAGGGCAGGTTTCTTACGATTACGATACGTTCTTGATTTTGTTGTTCCATGAAGTAAAAACACATTTTTTGATTAGCCTGATTTTCCCCTAGCCACCAGACACGTGTCTCGAGGAGGTATACGCTCCATACAGCTCTGCTGATCCATCACAACGGGGCCCATCTCACGAAAACAAAACGAAATCCTGATGACCTCGAAACAATTACTTTCGGTTTTGGTAGCCATACCCTAAACAAGGGCAATGGCCCGTCAATGCAAGGATCACCAGAGGTGCTTCCCCCGTTTCAAAACGAATCATTGCAGTGCGATTGGTTTGTCTAGAGTTTAAATGTGCAGGTGAGAGCGCGAGTAAGAAAAAGGCAAGTGAGCGGGGTGGCGGGCGGGCTTAGACTTCAAAGGGTTTCGAGTTTAGGAAGCCCATGAACCCAAGAAGCTTAAGCCCGTCAAGCCCTAAGACTAAGAGAAGAAGCAACCTTCAGGCCCTGAGCTATCGGAGCATGGGAAATCCTGGGATATCAGCATGAAATATATCCAAATGCTGGCTCAAGATGCCTCTACTCCCTTCCCTTTGTAGCTCTTCTAAGGGACTGTTGATCCCAACTTGCGACATTTTGCCCAGAAGAGAACTTGCCTTGAAGACATCAGAATCTGGCCGGACAGGAACCGGTGTCTGTTGGTCGAACTGCCTCATCGAACCTGATTTCAGTTTACTTCGGTGTACTAGTGGCCCAGGACCCCGCCCGCAACGTACCCGCTTCAGAAGCTTTATTGCCAAGGATTGCAACAACAAAGTTCAGAAAATAGGGGTGAGCAGAAACTATGCCAACAATATTACATCCATTGCAACGAAGATTCTGTAAATCTCTGTAAAAATCTGTAGCCATTGTAGCTCTGACATCAAACACACACACACAGACACACAGACAAACACACACAGACACACAGACACACAGACACACAGACACACAGACACACAGACACACAGACACACAGACACACAGACACACAGACACACAGACACACCGACACACAGACACACGGACACACAGACACACAGACACACAGACACACAGACACACAGACACACAGACACACAGACACACAGACGCACAGACACACAGACACACAGACCCACAGACACACAGACACGCAGACACCAGACAC